GTTATGTTATTTCAAGAAAACAATAACCACACATACACATTGCATAGTTTGCAAAAATCAAGAATTCTTGTTTACATTTTCTTCCAAGTGCTGTGGGTAAGTCTCCGTTTAGCTGTCTAGCTGAATTATGCAGCTTGGAAATCCTATCAGCCACTCATCTCAGTTTTATCATCCAAAACTCATACCTCATGTTCTGACATGTCACTGGCACACTGCACTCCCTTATCAATGGGGTCTTTTTCAATAAAATTCATAGCAAGCATTGGATTGGGTTGAATATCCACATTGATCTCTGCCATCCGGTCGGAAAAGCTGCATTGTCGACCAAACTCGCTGCGCTTCTTCACGTAAACGTAGACGATCTCCATGGTGCTCACTTCAAATGAGAGAGAAAAAGCTCACCATGCTGTTGTTTCTTTTCGGCAGCATTCACACGCTACGAAGTGCCACTTGGTGAGGCAGCAAGCCAAGTGTAGGAAACCAGGTTGCCAAGACTGGCACAGTGCACTCAAAGCAATCGCAGGGCCAGATCATGAAGAGGGAGGTGCTATGTGGTGGCCCACTAGAGTTGTAGCCCTGAATCTTTCACCTGGCACCCCAAATCCCTGTGAGACCACCCGTTCTGCCACCTTGCTGTCCATGGCACTTGTGGAAATGCAGGTACAGGGGCCCTGATGATCTGTGACAGCTCATGCTCCTGGAGCAGCTGGCTTTTGGCCAAATGTGCTTCACCTCCTTATGCCCCCTCCTGGATTCTTTCCACCTGAGAGTTCTTTTTTAAAATCAAATATTCTCTTCCCCCCACGTCCATATATCCTTTTTTACAAATAGGGGAGCTTTTAGGGGACAGGATCTTTTAAAGACACAGGTACACAAAGTCTGCAGCATGTGCAAATTTTTCCCTGTGGGCACCTGGCTGAAGTGATCACCCTGTTGATTTCTCCTTTTTTTTTTTTTTTTAAAGGAATGGAAGTGAAATGGTCACAACAGCACTTCAGATGTCTTCATCCAGGATGGCATCTCTATTATGGGGAGATCCCCTTTCCCCTACTTTCAAATTACATTTTTTCCCAATCACTGGGACATTGTGTTTCTTCCCTTAGCTAGGAAATCAATTAATCCTGCCTTTTCCAGGTGGGATATAGTTACATGAGCCTTGAGCAGGCACTAATTGGATAGTGACTATGACATCACTGATAAGAAATGAGGCAATATCCCCATGTTGTGACCTGAAATGTTTATAAGTCTAGCATGCTTGGGAAATTGGGGGGTGGTAACACATGTGAAACCATTCATGAACCTGACAGCCCTCAATGTGAAGGACACAAGGCAGAGTAGCAGCAGCCAGAGTAACTGCAAGCTCCAATATTCCTGACAATGCTTCCTCTCTGTTAATTAGGTAAACAGGGAGGAAAGCGACTGAAACGAGGTAAGGCTTCCTGGTACTGCAGGAATGCAGCTGACGGCAATACAAGTCATGGGCAGGAAGACAGGGTATACAAAACAGAAATCCCAGAGGCAGGTGACTGAAGGAAAGGGGGAACAGGCAGTAGGGTGAGATACAGACAGCACAGGGAAGTGCAAGTAGGAATCATGGGACTAAAGAAAAGGTTTGGGGACAGCTTGCAAGCTTGGCAGACAAAGGAAAATAGCATTGCCAAGTCTCAGCTCTAAAGGGGCTTCTGAGCCATTAAAACAGTCTTCCGCAACACATAGGCTTTCAGATGTGTTGGACTGTGACTCCTATAATTCTTCACCAGCCTGGCCAACACTGTGAGAGCAGAGAAATATGCCAGTTGTGGCTGCATTCATCACCACAGCCTTGAGATCTGGCAATCATCACTGTAGAAAAGGCAAGGAGGAAGAAGCATAGGCTAGGGCAATGGTGGTGAACCTGGGGCATGTGTGCCATGGCGGGCACGCAGGTCCTCACCATCAGCACACGAGCAAAGTCTCCCCAGCATCACCCCGGCAGCCGAGCATCAAGTAACAGAACACGTGGGGACATGCCCTTGATCAGAAAAGAGCAGCGGCATAAAGTGAAGACGTCAAGAGCTGCTTCACATTAGCTGCAAAATGAGGTGTCCAGGAAGGTTGGAATGTATTTAGCATGGGTAGAAATGATGAGCTGTGCAGAAAAAGCCATTGAAAGATGGCTTGTCAAAATCACCCTCTTTTCAGTGGAACTTTAGTTTTATAATAGGGTTAGGGAAGTGATCCACGGTAGGGTTAGGTAGGGCATGATTTCAAAGGTTGGAATGTGTTTAGCAATGTCAGAAATAATGAACTGTGCAGAGAAAGCGACTAAAAGACAGCTTTTCAAAATTGCTTACTTTCAGGGGAAATTTAGCCCTATATTAGGGTTAGGGACGTGTACCAGGGTAAGGATAGGGTTAGAAAAAGAAGGTTTCCTGGAATGATT